GTCTGCTGAGGTTAAATAGTTTGCCATCTGTCTGATAGATGCTTTCCACTCCGGTGGGAAGCTTCCATCAACAAGACAAAGTACTGAGGAAGGCAACTATTAAAAGATTTTGCAAAGAGCTTGGTGGGCTGTCTCCATTGCCTTGCAACCCCATGCAAAAGTTTTTTAAATGATCCCCAAATGCCTGCTAGTGGGGGCAGTGGTTTGACACATTCAATCCCAGCAGGTTTTGGCGGAAGGACATAAGATTTCCCACCTTTGCTCAGCAATAGAATTAGGCAGCCACTTCTGGGGCACACTCCGACCTCATTTTCAAAAAATTTAAGAACTCCTTATCTCCTTCTGCCTCAAAGGGGCAATTTTGCCATGCTTTGGCCATACACCCCCAGCTGTTTTAGAAAGAACAGCCTTTCAAAGCAGGAAGTCAACCTGCTTCTCTGTTTTTAAGCAGGCCTCATGATTGAAATTCAGAATATTCCCCACCATCAAGACACACGTAGTTCTGGAAGCTTTTGTGTTGAATGGTTCTGATTATTGATGGTTGCTTGCTGCTGTTATTTGTTTCTCCTTGCAACTGTATGATTGTTTTCTGCATCAGAAAATATGTGCCTGGATTCTGCTGCTGGTTCAAGTAGGGCAGACTTAATGAATAGGGCTTATCAATGGGTTGATTCACTATTCAACAACAGATATAATGGGTCTACTCTATTTTGCTTCAAGTGGTTGTCTACACAAGAGAAAAGGTGAGGACAATGGTTTTAAATGAATCTTGACTAAAAGTAATTCTATAAAATACTAGCTTGGGTACTGGCAATGGCCAAGTTATTTGAAAAAGTCTTTTTTATTTTAGAAAATGCGTAAGGTTGTGGGTGAACTACAACTCACATCATGTCAGGTTAACTCCCTCATTCTCCATCAGTACTTAAAGTTGGTCATGTTGGGCATGCGTGGCAAGTTGGCTCTATATGCGTGATCCGTGGGGTTTCTCTGGCTGTAGGATGAACTACGACTCCCACCATGGTGGGTCAGTCACCTTGTCACAAGAAATTCAATGTGCAGATTTGATAAATGTGAATGTAATAATGATGTGTGTGAATGAATGAAAGAATGGAAGATGAATGTATGAATGGAGTTAATAATTTTGGAGACACCAGTATAATATTAAGGCCTGCAATGACTAACTACCTGCTTGCTGGACTGTAATTACAGAAATGGAGAGTGATAACAGAAATGCTTGCAACATTCCTTATGTTAAGAAGGAAGTCAACACAAGCCTTGTGTTTGTCAACACCAATCAAAAAGATCAACATCTGGCCAGGAAACTGAGATGGAGCCAGAATGGAAGGCGTCTATCATTAATTTACAACTTTGGGACTACATCAGCAGAATATTCCTATAAAAGACTCAGTCTAATAATGCTCAAATTGTGACAGAGACACTGTTCACCAGCTATGCTCTGCTCCATGGGAAGGAGAGAGATGGTGTACCTATGGATAGTGGCAGATCTGCAAGGGAGCAGTCTGGTCACTTTGGGGCTTCTTTCTCAAGGGAAGAGGAAGAAGTGGAGTTTTAGATTTTATGCAGGGAGTCAGGTTCTGCTGTATGGAAAACAGAGATCTGGTCCTTGGCATTGTTATTAGGGAAAGTGTCAGTGTGTAATTCATGTATGATGTGTGTTTAAATGTAATTTTATGTGATAGGATTGTGATTGTAATAGAATTGCCAGGATGTAGGTTTAGTTGGATATGGTGGTTCTGTGTGCCAAGTTTGATCCAGGTCCATCATCGGTGGAGGTCAGTTTCTCTGGATGTAGGTGAACTTCAACTCCCAAAAAGCAAAGTCATTCCCACCAAAACTCCTCCAGTATTCAAATTTAGCCATATCAGGTATCAGGTATGCATGCCAAGTTTGGTCCAGATCCGTCATTTGGATTAACAGTGTTCTCCGAGTGTAGGTGAACTACAGCTCCTCCAATTCATGGCAAAGTCCTCTAGTATTTTTTTGCCGTGGGGGTTGTGTGTGCCAAGTAAGGTCCTGGTCCATCACTGTTGGGGTTCAGAGTGCTCATAGATTGCAGGTGAACTATAAATCCAACTAGCTGTAACTCCAAAATGTCAAGGTCAATTACCCGCAAACCCCACCAGAATTCCTAGGTGGGCATATCGGATATGTGCGCCAAGTTTGGTCCAGATCCATCATTGTTTGGGCTCACAGTGATCCCTGGATGTAGGTGAACTACAAGGCCTATAAATGAAGGTCAATCCCCCCCCCCAAAAAAAAAAACCTTTCTGGTATTTTCATTGGTCTTAGTGGTTCTATGATGGAGCCCCTGGTGGCGCAGTGGGTTAAACCCCTGTGCTGGCAGGACTGAAGACCGACAGGTCGCAGGTTCGAATCCGGGGAGAGGAGGATGAGCTCCCTCTATCAGCTCCAGCTCCTCATGCGGGGACATGAGAGAAGCCTCCCACAAGGATGATAAAAACATCAAATCATCCGGGCGTCCCCTGGGCAACGTCCTTGCAGACGGCCAATTCTCTCATACCAGAAGCGACTTGCAATTTATCAAGTTGCTCCTGACACGATAAAAAAAAAAAAGCGATTTTATGTGCGAAATGTGGTCCAGGTCCATTTTCACTGGGGATCACAGTCCTCTGTCTTGATGCAGGGTGAACTACAACTTCAATCATGATGAGTCAGTCCCCCAATCCCCTCCAGTATGTTCAGTTGCTGATCATACTGGAGCTGTGCTCCACAGAAAAGAGTAGGAAACGGTTAAGGGAGAGGCAGTGGGTGGGATCATGGAATTTGTGATGGAGGAAATACATAAAATCTAGGATGGAAGTGTCCCCATATGAAAGCCTTCACTTGGGTGCTAGGCAGCATGCTGTTTGTGGAGGACATTGGCAGGGGTCTTGTTCACGTTCATGGTGCTCACTATAACCTGCAATGTCATTGGAGGGAGGACCTTTAGTGGCTCCCCATAGATGGGGGCTATAGCTGTTTGTGGAAGTGTGAGCCTATCTGTGAAAGTGGGCACCCCAGCCACATACACACATATGTATTTTCACTTTTATTAGGTGTATATCAGGGTTTCTCAACCTAGGGGTTGCAGCCCCTGGGGGGGGGGGTCGCGAGTGGGTTTCAGAGAGGTCGCCAAAGACCATCAGAAATCACATATTTCTCATAGTCTTGGGAAACCCTTTGGCAGAGAAGGCTGACGATCTCTCCTGCTGTGATTGGCTGTCTCCTGCTGTGATTGGCTGTTTCTGACACTTCCAGTGGGGACAGGAGAGCAGGCTCGCTTGGCACATGACAGCAAGGTGTGCATGCGAGGGAGCGTCCATGAGGCTGGAGGGAGGCTCACGCCAGCAAATCCCTTCAAGACAGGGGGGAAAGCACCCGCATGATATGGGACTGAGAGTGGCCTAGCAGCATCAGGAGGAGGAGCAGCAGCAGCAGAAGCAGCTGAGATAATTTGTAACACTATTTATTCAGAAAAAAATCAGTCTTTCCTTTTGTTTTTTATCAATCCTCCCATGAGAAAAATGCATAAGGATGTGGGTGAAATACAACTCCTTAAAATCGCAGGTCAATTCTCCCCAACTCCCACCAGTATTCACAATTGGCGATGTTGGGTCTGTGTGCCCAGTTTGGTCCCGATCCATCATTGTTTTTAGTCCACAGTGCTCTCTGGATGTAGGTGAACTACAACTCCCAAACTCAAGATCAAGCCCACCAAACCCTTCCAATATTTTCTGTTGGTCATGGGAGTTCTGTGTGCCAAGTTTGGTTCAATTCCATTGTTGGTGGAGTTCAGAATGCTCTTTGATTGTAGGCAAACTATAAATCCCAGCAACTACAAATCCCAAATGGCAAAATCGATCCCTCCCCCCCAACCCCAGAAGTATTCAAATTTGGCCGTGTCAGGTACTTGTGTCAAATTTGGTCCAGTGAATGAAAATATATCTTGCATATCAGATATTTACATTATGATTCATAACAGTAGCAGTTATGACAGTTATGAAGTAGCAATGAAAATAATTTTACAGTTGGGGGTAACCATAACTAGAGGAAATGTATTAAGGGGCTGCAGCATTAGGAAGGTTGAGTACCACTGGTATATAGATTTAAAACATAAAAAGTGGTGTCTGGGGACTGCTTTCCCCCAGCTCTGCTTTGCATCAAGGGTGAGCAGATCTTGTCCTTTAATTCTACAAGAGACATCTGATTCTCAGTGATCGGCAGGCTTATTTCAGAAAGCTAAGGTTTGCTTATTCCTTACTTAGAGGCATGCCAACATTCAGCTTATATCCCAGTTTTGAGAAATCAAGGCAAGACATCCAGACAATGGACCTCTAGTCCTGAAATAGAAAGTGGGATGGCTATAGGGCAGTGGTTCTCAACCTTTCTAATGATTTTGTCATTAGGGAGTTGTAGTTGCTGGAATTTATAGTTCACCTACAATCAAAGAGCATTCTGAGCTCCACCAACAATGGAATTAAACCAAACTTGGCACACAGAACTCCAATGACCAACAGAATATACTGAAAGGGTTTGGTGGGCATTGACCTTGACTTTTGGTGTTGTAGTTCACCTACATCCAGAGAGCACTGTGGACTCAAACAATGATGGATCTGGACCAACATTGGCACGAATACTCAATATGTCCAAATGTGAATACTGGTGGAGTTTGGGGAAAATAGAACTTGACATTTGGGAGTTGTAGTTGCTAGGATTTATAGCTCATCTACAATCAAAGAGCATTCTGAACCTCACCAACGATAGAATTGAACCAAACTTGACACACAGAATTCCCATGAGCAACAGAAAATACTGTGTTTTCCAACGGTCTTCAGCGACCCCTCTGACACTCCCTCGCGACCAACCCCCAGGCTGAGAAACACTGCTATAGGGCTACCAAGGAGAGAAGTAGGCACAATGGTCCAGGGGGGTGGGGAGGTGTCCCATAGTCGTAATCAAAAAAAGGAACTTCCCCAAGCTCTGATGCACAGATTCATATTTAATTAACGGAAACATACAAGCAAGTTCTAGATTTAAATAAACCATCTCCTTTTTATTTCATAACTCTCTGTAAGAAGTCAAGTAACAACTGGATCCTAAAAGCCCTGCGATTATGGATTTCACCCTGAGTTCTCCTCACTTACTACCTACAGCTGAGAATAACACTAAAGAGATTTGATCAAGCTGGTCGGATCCCTTCTTGTCCATTGGTCGCTTGCCCTTCCAGTCCCTTCCAGTTTATGGCTCCTTTCCACATCCTTTGGATTTGGGTGCATTGGTGCTAAAAGTTCTTCACAAGAGGGAAGCAACGCCTGCAGAGAAGGAAAGACAGGCCCGTTCTCAGCACAAGGCTCCATAGCAGAATTATTATTATTATTATTATTATTATTATTATTATTATTATTAATTTATTTCCGGTATTTCTACCCCATTCTTTCTCAACCCGGGGGGGTGACTCAGGATGGCTTACATCTGGCAGCAATTCAATGCCACTACATATAACAGAGCAATATAACAACAATTAAAACAATAAATAGAACATTCATTAAAAACAATAAGAACCATTAACAGCCATATCATCAATCCAGTCAAATTCCATATCCAAAGTGCTATTTATGCCTGCTGTCCAAAAGCCTGGCCCCAGAACCACTATTTCAATTTCTTCCTAAAAGATAGGAGGAATGAAGCCGATCTTATCCCGGTGGGAAGCGAGTTCCATAGGTGGGGGGCCACAGCCAAGAAGGCCCTGTCTCTCATCCCCACCAGCCGTATTTGTGACACTGGCGGGAGTGAGAACAGGGCCTCCCTGGATGATCTTAAACTGTGAGGCGGGACATAGAGGGAGATGTGTTTGGACAAGTAAGTTGGGCCAGAACCGTGTAGGGCAGTGGTTCTCAACCTCGGGTCCCCAGATGTTTTTGGCCTTCAACTCCCAGAAATCCTAACAGCTGGTAAACTGGCTGGGGTTTCTGGGAGTTGTAGGCCAAAACACCTGGGGACCCACAGGTTGAGAACCACTGGTATAGGGCTTTATAGGTCAAAACAGAACTTTGAATTGAGTTCAGAAGTGGACCGGCAGCCAGTGGAGCTGACACAACAAGGGGGTGGTGTGCTCCCTGTACGTCGCTCCAGTTAGGAATCTGGCTGCAGCCCGTTGGACTACTTGTAGTTTCTGAACAGTCTTCAAAGGCAGCCCCACGTATAGTGCGTTGCAGTAATCTATTCGGGATGTAACAAGAGTGTGGACCACCATAGCTAGATCAGACTTCCCAAGGTACGGGCGCAGCTGGTGCACAAGGTTTAACTGCGTGAAAGCTCCCCTGGCCACCGCCGAAACCTGGGGTTCCGGGCTCAGCAATGGATCCAGGATCACTCCCAAGCTGCGAACCTGTGTCTTCAGGGGGAGTGTAACTCCATCCAACACAGGCTTTTTGACTGACTAGCATTGTGTATTCTCCAACTAAATCTCATCTCAGGGTTTGGCTCAGTTTCACTGTAGGTCAGAAATGACACAACAATCACAAGGCTTTCAAAACTAGGGAGGTGCTGGCCATTGGTTGGATGTTGCCTTCCAGAAACCTGGACTTGGCTTGGGCTTCAATTTAGAGTGCTGAGCGAAGTGAGACCACACTCTGACCTGTGATGTATCAGCTTCATTGGCTCTCTATTAATACAGTTCCAATTTCAACTTAATCCTAAAAGGCCCTGAACTTGGCCTAAACAAGCTTCCAAAGGGCCTCACACTCATGAACGGGAATAATAAAATAACAAAAGGGCAGTGCAGGGACTGAGGAAGCAATCACTATGAAAGGGTTAAAAAAATAATGACGTGATATGAAAATAAAATAGCAAATGAGGATTGAAAACATATAATAGAGAGCTGAAATGTATCGATATAGAAGAATTTTAATTAATGGAAGCTTTTTTTGTAATATTGTGACTATTTCAATGACTATACCATAAAATAAAGATACCCAACACAGTCAAAATACAATTTTAGCTCATCTCAAGGTAAGTAGACTAAAGTTAGTGAGAGCCTTGTGCTTCGTGGCTGTTTAGCAAGCATGGGCAAACTTTGGCCCTCCATGTGTTTTGGACTCCAACTCTCACAATTCCTAACAGCCTACCGGTTGTTAGGAATTGTGGGAGTTGAAGTCCAAAACACCTGGAGGGCCCAAGTTTGCCCATGCCTGCTGTATAGTTTGTAATGCGAAAAGGACACTGAGAGCAGTTGGGTTGTTTGGGATGAGAGTGGCCTCCATCTAGTTCCCTCTCCACTCCTTCCTCTCTATGAGTGAGCATTCCCCCTCTCCATTGTACATTCTGATTCTAATTTTTCAGATGCGTATGTCACAATATGGGTGGTGCAGCAGGTTAAGCTGCTGAGCTGCTGAACTCACTGACCAAAAGATTGGTGGTTCAAATCCGGGGAGCAGGGTGAGCTCCCACTGTTGGCCCCAGCTTGTGCCAACCTAGCACTTCAAAAACATGCAAATAGGAGTAGATCAATAGGTATCGCTTCTGTGGGAAGGTAACGGCGCTCCATGCACTCATGCTGGCCACATGACCTAGGAGGTGTCTATGAACAACACCGGCTCTTCGGTTTAGAAATGGAGATGAGCACCCCCCCAGAGTCGGATACAACTAGACTTAATGTCAGGGAAAACCTTTACCTTTTATGTCACAATATATATGTATATATTGATATACTGTATAGGAGGCCCCTAGAACCATAAGAAATGCAAAAAAAATCACTGTTAAGAACTCAATTTTGAATTAGTTCACATTGGGAACCAAGGCAATAAAGGAAGGAGGGCTGCTAGGCCATATCATACAGCTATAATAATAGAATAATAATAATAATAATAATAATAATAATAATAATAATAATAATCTTTGTTTATATCCCACTACCATCTCCCCGAAGGGACTCGGGCACCTTACAAAGCACTCCAGGGTGCACACATAACATACAACCGGTTATAAACAGTACAAAAATATAAAACAGGTCACATAAAATTATAACAACAACCCCCCCTCAACACACATTAAAATCAAAGCAATACAATTTTAAAACAAGTTGATAAAACTAACTGCCATCAATTCACAAGTCCAAGTGTCAGTGTCATATGGGTTCATTCAGCCTACTCAACGTCAAAGGCCTGTCTGAACATCGATGTTTTCAGGTTGGAACAGAAGGATTGAATGGTAGGGACTAATCTAATCTCTTTTGGGAGGGGGTGGCACTGGGAAATTGCCATCAGGGATGTCATAGAATCATTGAGTTGCAAGAGACCTCATGGGCCATCCGGTCCAACCCTGCCAAGAAACAGGAAAATTGCATTCAAAACACCCCCAACAGATGGCCATCCAGCCTCTGTTTAAAAGCTTCCAAAAGAAGGAGCCTCCACCACATTTCGGGGCAGAGAGTTCCACTGCTGAACAGCTCAATAAAACAAGAGTCCTCTCTGCAACCGCACTCTAAATACTCACCGTTGTTATACTTGCACTGCTTCAGGGCCTCATTAAAGCCTTCACACAAAGTCAAGTCAGTCTGGTTGGTAGCACACTCAAGGAATTGCTTCATCTCATAGTGGCAGGGCCCGTATTGGGCTTGCTGGTAGGCTGGCTGTGGCCTGGCTTCCTATAGAAAAGAAGACTCCAGCTCAAGTGATGTCAGGCAGAATGGGCAAAAATTATTGAAATGCAAGGAGCGGGGTTTGGGGTCAGAACAGACTCCGCATTCATGTAGCCCATCCTCTCCAACTGTAATGGATTACAGCTCCCATTATGCCAACCAGTGGCCAGGATAGTGGGAGGTGTGGTCCAACACATCTGAAGGGCTGGGGGAAGCTGATCCAAACCAGGATGTGGTATACACGTAACACTCGAGAGTGTCTTTCCTTCGCTTCTTTTCTCCTTGTTCCAGCAACCTTAAAAGAGTCAGGAAAAGATTTGTGTTGGCATCTTTTGTTTTTAAATGGTTTTTCATTCTAAGGGCACTTCAGCTGAGCTTTACAAACAAGGTAACTATGCAGCTCCACTCTCTCCATTGTGTTTCCTCCCATCGCCTGGCAGATGCTAAGCTCTGGGAAAGATCTCTCCTGCCGCAGCTTGCCAGTGAGGAAGAAAAAGAAGGGAGGGGAGTCACACCATAGAGAAGGAGCTGGTCTCACTTCTGTTGAGCGGGGAGGAAAGGATGGTATGCTCCAAAATGCCTTTCCCTTGCCCCTGGAGCCCAGAGCAGCCAGATCTCCCTGGTTTGAATGTCCTCTCCCTCACTATCACAGGGCTTGCTAGAGAGAGCACAAGGGCAAGGGAACATCCCTCTGTGCTCCCTTCCAAAGATGACCTTTAGCACATGGAAATCACAAACAAGATGACAGCCTATAAGCTTTCATTTCTGTTTCATTTTATTTGAGTAAGTTGCTTTGAGTCCCAATTCTGGGGGAAAGGTGACATGTAAATACAAAATGCATTGCAAAACCCAATGCAACACAGAGCCAGAGCTGGCAAGATGGTTATGTAAGCCATCGGTCAACTTCTGTTTGGCCAGGGAGCACATCATGTTAAGTTAACCCCCAAAAAACTCCACCAGTACTTAAAAGTTTGTTATGTTGGGCAAGTTTGCTCTGGATGCATCATCGGTGGGGTTCAATATGCTATCTGGCTGTAGGGTAAACTACAACTCCCACTATGCTGAGTCAGTCCCCTCAAACCCCTCCAGTAGGGGGGTTCTGTGTGCCAAACTTGGTCCAAGTTTGGCAGTGTTATTTGAAGAAGTCAATTTTTAATTGTACAAAATGCATAAGGTTGTGGGTGAACTACAACTCCCATCATGCCAGGTTAACCTTGTGAAACTCCATCAATACTTCAAGTTTGTTATGTTGGGCAAGTTTGCTCTGGATGCATCACTGGGGTTGAGTGTGCTCTCTGGCTGTAGGGTAAACTACAACTCTTGCTATGGTGAGTCAGTCCCCTCAAACCCCTCCGGTAAGGAGAGTTAGTCATGGGGGTTCTGTATGCCAAGTTTGGTCCAGATCCATCATCGGTGGAGGTTACAGTTTCTATGGTTGTGGGTGAACTACAACTCCCAGAAAGGAAGGTCACTTCCCTCCAAACCCTTCCAGTAATCAAATTTCGGCATATTAGGTATGTGTGCCAAATGCGGTCCAGTTCCATCGGGGTTTGGGTTCACAGTGCTCTCTGGATGTAGGTGAACTACAACTCCCCCATATCAAGGTGAATTTCCCCCAAAGACCTCCAATATTTTTTGCCAGTCAAGGGGGCTTTGTGTGCCAAGTTTGGTCCAATTCCATCTTTGGTGGAGTTCAGAGTGTTCCTTAATTGCAGGTGAACTATAAATCCCAGTACCTAAAACTCCAAAATATCCAGGCCAATTCCCCTCAAAACCCACCAAGGAACCTCTTTGGCAAAACAGTGCCACTCATTTCTTGTTTGGTGTGGGGTGGAAATGCCTTCCGACTGGGATCCCAGCCTGTTGAAGCAACCCCGACCCTTCTGAGCTAATCTTTTGAGTAAAGCCATCGCTGAACGGCGTCTCATCCACTTCTACTTTTAGCTGACCCTCTAAGCAGAGTTCACTGTCGGACCCTGCTGCAGCCAAAACAAAGCCAAACTCCTTGCTTCTATTAAAAAAAAAAACAGCTATGTGCTATACGTAATTCTGTTATTATAGATTTTCCTGACTGCTTTACCCCTTTTTTTTTTTTTAAACTTGATTAGAAGACTAAGAGTTTATGTACTTTGACTGTCTCCTTGCTGGACTTGGAGAGATTGAAATCAAGCTCACACTACATGCAAAGAGCATTTTTCTGCAGATTTTTTTCCCATGTCAGGAGCTCCTTGAGAAACTACAAACTTCTGGTGTGAGAGAATTGGCCGTCTGCAAGGATGTTGCCCAGGGGATGCCCGGATGTTTTAATATTTTATCATCCTTGTTTTATCATCCTTCTTTCATGTCCCCACATGGGGAGCTGGAGCTGAAAGAGGGAGCTCATCCACGCTCTCTCCATGGATTCGAACCTCTGACCTGTCAGTTTTCAGTCCTGTCAGCACAAGGGTTTAACCCACTGTGTCACTACGGGCTCCCAGAGCTGCTGGACTACAAGTCCACCATTCCTCATTTGTTTTGCTGGCCAAAGCTGTCAGTAGTCCAACAGCAACTACAATTTCCCCCTCTTTGAAGTAGCTTAAGACCTTAAAGGACATTAATATAAATATAATGATAGTTATTATTGAAATATTCTGCCTTTCCCCCCAAACCTCACGAAGATTAGCAAAATTAAAGCAAATAGTGTACAAAAAAAAGGACGTACAAGGAGTTATTACAAAAATGTGATTAATCTATGGAATTAAAACCCATTACATAACAAAGAAGATAAAGCTAATGTTAAGTTATTGTTTTTCCTCCTGGGAGAATGTCAGAATCTAAGATCCCAGAGGGAGAGATCTATCCCCTTTTGTATGGTGGTTCACAAAATACAGATGAATAATCAATATGAATAGCAAATTAACGAGGATGTGGCATTTACTCCCAAGACTAGCAAGTTGTCCTCCTACTCCTGACACACAGAGACAGAGCTGAGCAATGACGGCATTACCGGAGCAGGGCTGCTTGCTGCCTTGGGGGGCTCCGAGCCACCACTAAATGCCCCGGTGAGAGCGCCGCCCACCACATGGCCCACGGCGGAGCCCACCGCCACTCCGGCCGCAGTGGTCGCCATCTGGGCCATCAAGCCTGGCTGCTGGGGTTGAGCCGGGGCAGCCACAGCAGAAGGGGGAGGATGAGCTGGAGGGTGGGCATGAGATGGAGCTGGGCTGTGGAGCAAGAGAGAAAAGAGCAGTGAGAGCGAGGCAGCTCCAAAAGGCATTGGGACAAAAGGGTTCACCACTTCCAACCTGAAAGGAGTGGGGGAACACCTGCTCTTTCCAGATCTTTTTCACAAGTCAATTCAGGAAGGCTATTCGCAAGCGAGAAGGGCAATCAACATGATCAAAGGTCTGGAAGCCTATGAGAAAGAGCAGGAGCTGGAGATGTTTAGCTTGGTGAAGAGAAAACTGAGAGATAGGGACATCAGAGTCATTTTCAATATCTGAAAGGATGTCGCATTGAGGAGGGGGTAGGCTTGTTTTCTGATACTCTTCAGACCAGGACACCATAGAGTACTGGGTTGAAATGGCAAGGAAAAAGATTCCAAAATATGTTGCCCTAGAGAGGTAACATATTCCTAATGCCGCAACCTCTCATGTAGTGATCCCCAACCATAAAATCATTTTCTTTGTTACTCCATAACTGCAATTTCATTACTGGCATGAATCGTATTGTAAATATCCAATATGCAGGATGTATTTTCATTCACTGGACCCAATTTGGCACAAACACCCGATATGACCAAATTTGAATACTGGTGGGGTTGGGGGGTGGGGGATTGGTTTTGTCATTTGGGAGATGTAGTTGCTGGGATTGATAGTTCACCTACAAAGAGCTTCCTGAACTCCACTAATGATGGAATTGAACCAAACTTGGCAACTTTGAGTTTTGGAGTTGTAGTTCACCTACAACCAGAGCGCACTGTGGACTCAAACAATGATGGACCCAGACCAAACTTGGCACAAATATGCAATATGCCCAAATGTGAACACTGGTGGAGTTTGGGGAAAATAGACCTTGACATGTAGGAGTTGTAGTTGTTGGGATTTATACTTCACCTACAATCAAAGAGCTTCCTGAACTCCACCAACGATGGAATTGAACCAAACTTGGCACACAGAACTCCCATGACCACAAGAAAATACTGGAAGGGTTTGATGGGCACTGACCTTGAGTTCTGGAGTTCTAGTTCACCTACATTCAGAGAGCATTGTGGACTCAAATAATGATGGACCCGGACCAAACTTGGCACAAATACGCAATATGCCCAAATGTGAACACTGGTGGAGTTTGGGGGAAATAGACCTTGACAATTGGGAGTTGTAGTTGCTGGGATTTATAGTTTACCTACAATCAAAGAGCATTCTGAATCCCACCAATGATAGAATTGGGCCAAACGTCCTACAGAAAACCCCCTTGACCAACAGAAAATACTGGAGGGATTTGGGAAGAATTGACAATGATTTAGGGAAGAGCACATCCCCACTTGGAGTCTCAGAAATAGCTCTCCCCTTGGCTGAGAGACCAGCTGAGAGGCCAGCCAATCACAGCAGGAGGGCTTCTGGTGGAAGGATTCTCAGTCCGTTTCCAAAAAGGAAGAGAACGACACCCAGAGAGAACTTGAGCCTTCTCTACCAAAGGGTTTTCTGTGTTTTCTGGTGGTCTTTGGCAACCCCTCTGAACCCCCCTCATGACCCCCCAGGGGTCCTGACCCCCAGATTGAGAAGCACTGCCCTAGAGCACAGTGGTGTCTCCTTGTCTGGAAGGTCGTAAATAAAGACTAGATGACCAGCTCTCTGGAAGGCTTTGCTTGTGTGTTCCCATCTGGCAGGGGGTTGGACTGGATGGCTCTAGGATGCTAGGATTCTGACCATAGTCATCCTGGCTCTGGTATCATTCCCCCTTGAATGTTTCTGTTTCTCTTTCTCTTTGCGAATGCACAATCTTGGACAAAGCCTAGCCTTATATGTGAAGGTTTATGCCATGCTGCCTTAACATTGTATCTCAGCCTCCAAGCATTGAATCCCTAAACACTACACTTCTCTGATTCGTATAATTTCTGCTCCTTAGCCATTCATTTTAATACTGGATTATGCTTTTAAAACCCAAGTGGCTGAATTGGGCTACGCAGATCGACAGAATGAAATTCCATTTATTTACCAGAAGCCACTTTGAGTTGGATTTTGCCCAACAGTTCTCTCAAATTAACGGCAAGGCAGGCTCACTTTTTGTGAATGGAAGTATTCGTACATATTTCTTGAGATGAATCAAAACCTTGCACCTGAGGTGAGAAAAGTCCAGTCCTCCAGATACGGTTGTATTGCAGCCATTGGGATGAGAGGTAAGACTCTTCAAGAGAAGAGGAATGTTCTCATCCAAAAGGTTACTCTACAAATCTTCAGTTTTTCCAATTACATGCTATTAATTGGAACTTTCTAAGAATAAAAAAGCAATAAGATCTTTCTGTTATAAATTAACATTTGGCTTAGAGAGAAAAAAAAGTTTAGCCCAGGAACTGATTGAACCCAATTAATAATATTACTTGTTTCCTGGAAGACTTTTTTCCAGAACATGGAAGACATCTCACAATTTCATATATGAATATAATTGTTTGATGAATTATAACCACTTCAACATCCCTAAGATCTAAGTTGAAAAAAAATAGTATTTTCCTTAGTGTTTAATATTTTCTACTAGCTTGGGTATCCAGTGTTGCCAGTGTTATTTGAAAAAGTCAATTTTTAATTGTACAAAATGCATAAGGTTAACCTCGTGAAACTCCATCAATACTTCAAGGTTGTTATGTTGGGTAAGTTTGCTCTGGATGCATAATTGGGGTTGAGTGTGCTCTCTGGCTGTAGGGTAAACTACAACTCCCGCTATGGTGAGTCAGTCCCCTCAAACCCCTTAGGTGGAGAGAGTTAGTCATGGGGGTTCTGTATGCCAAGTTTGGTCCAAGTCCATCATTGGTGGAGGTCATAGTTTCTATGGTTGTGGGTGAACTACAACTCCCAGAAAGGAAGGTCAGTTCCCTCCAAACCCCTCCAGTAATCAAATTATGGCATATCAGATATGTGTGCCAGGTTTGATCCAGTTCCATCGGGGTTTGGGTTCACAGTGCTCTCTGGATCCAGGTGAACTACAACTCCCCCAAATCAAGGTGAATTTCCCCCCCAAAGACCTCCAGTATTTTTTGCTGGTCAAGGGGGATCTGTGTGCCAAGTTCGGTCCAATTCCATCTTTGGTGGAGTTCAGAGTGCTCATCGATTGGAGGCGAACTATAAATCCCAGTACCTAAAAATCCAAAATGCCCAGGCTAATTCCCCTCAAAGGTCAGCAGTATTAAAATTTGGGCATATTGGGTATGCATGCCAAGTTTTGTGCAGATCCATCATTGTTTGGGTTCATAGTGCGCTCTGGATGTAGGTGAACTACAACTCCTATAAATCCATCCAAAGACCTCCAGTATTTTTCATTGTTCATGGGGGTTCTGTGTGCCAAGTTAGTTCCAGGTCCATCATTGGTAGACTTCAGAGTGCTCTTAGATTGGAGATGAACTATACATCCCAGGACCCACAACTATAAATCATGGTGAATTCTCCCCAAACATCTCTAGTATTTTCAGTTGCTGATCAATTCCTTTGTTTGCTGTGTGCCATAGAAAAGAATAGGAAAGGGTTAAGGGGAGAGGCAGTGGGTGGGGCATGAGTATTCCACACCAATGGAGAGCGTAAGAAACACTGGGATGCCTGTGGTGTAGGAAACACATGAAATCTACAAGGAAATTGTCCCCGTATGAAAGCCTTCACTTGGGTGATGGGCAGTATGGTGTTTGTGAAGGACATTGGCAGGGCTCTTGGACATGTTCATGGAGCTCACTATAACCTGCAATGTCATTGGAGGGAGGGCCTTTGGTGTCTCCTGAGTAGTAGGAGCTATAGCTGTTTGTGGAGGCTGGAGCCTATCTGTGTATGTAGACACCCCAGACATATACACACACATATATAAATAAAAATGTAATGTTAGTTTGTGGGATTAACATAACTCAAAAACCACTGGACAAATTGACACCAAATTTGGACACAATACACCTACCAGGCCAATTAATGACCACCACTCATAAAAACACTGAGTTAAAAAGCCAAAAAAAGCAAAAAGATGCTACAGCACATGCGCAAAAATGACTCCCCCAGGGGAAAAAACACACAATAGCATATCCACATTTTCTTCCGGACTACAGCTCCCATCATCCCTAGACCAGACCCTTTAGGAAAGGAGGATGATCCAAATGCACTGCTTCCAAGATGCAAGTTTTAGCATTTCTTTGAGAGCATCCCAATCCCTGTATATTTCCAATTTCCTATTCCTGGACTGCAACTCCCAGCAATCCTCCAGATAGATTAGATAGAGATAGACAGGTAGGTAGATAAGATTGGATGAGGACTGCTGGGAGTTACAGTCCAAGAATAGGTAGAGAAGGAAGAAAGGGGAGAAAGGGGAAGGGAAAGAAAAAAGGGGGGAAGGGAAGATAATGAAGGAAGAAGGAAAGAAAAAAGGGGAAGGAAGGAGAGAAAGAAAGGAGAAAGAGGGAGGGAAGGTTGGCCATAGCAACGCGTGGCAGGTACAGCTAGTGTGTGTGTGTGTGTATTCATTTTTATTATGTGTATAGATGAATTAGTGCAGGTGGTTTCCCTAGACTGTGCAGATATGGATTTGAAATGTTTCATGGGAATCTTCAGAAGAGAAAGGAAAGGCAAGGAAGGATGAGAGAAAATATCGCTGTTGCTACCAGAGCAGACTTATTTTAGGTACGGGTCCGTGAACTCTTGTTAAGTGGATTGCACGGCTTGAATCCGATTAACCAAAAATAAGAAAAATGCAGTGAATTAAGTGATCGTTTGGGAAGGCTACATGCAACAGCCCACTTAGCAGACCAGAACAAAAGGATGGGATAAAAAGTGGGGAAGGGGGAGAGAGAGAGCCGTCTTATTTTTAACAATCAGAAGCTTACGATTTTTCACAATGAGGAAACGCATTATAAAGAGAAAGAGAGAAAGAAAATATCTATAGTAAAGTCTTGTTTATCCAACATAAAAGGACTGGCAGAACGTTGGATAAGTAAAAATGTTGGATAATAAGAGGGATTCTGGAAAAGCCATGGAGCCCCCAGTGGCACAGTGGGTTAAACCGCTGAGCTGCTGAACTTGCTGACCAAAAGATCACCAGTTCAAATCTGGGGAGTGGGTAAGCTCCTGCTGTTAGCCCCAGCTTCTGCCAACCTTGCAGTTCGAAAAAATGCAAATGTGAGTAGATCAATAGGTACTGCTCCGGTGGGAAGGTAACAGCACTCCATGCAGTCATGCTGGCCACATGACCTTGGAGGTGTCTATGAACAACACTAGCTCTTCGACTTAGACATGGAGCTGAGCTCCAACCCCCAGAGTTGAACACGACTGGACTTAATGTCAGGGGAAAACCTTTACCTTAGGAAAAGCCTATTAAATGTCAAATTACATTATGATTTCACAAATTAAGCACCAAAACATCATGTTTGACAACAAATCGACAGAAAAAGCAGTTCAATACATGGTAACGTTACATTTTAATTAGTACTGTCTCTACGAATTTTGCACCAAAACTTCACAATGTATTAAAACAGCTATGGATTCGGGAGGGAAGCAGACTGTGTTGGATAATACAGAATGTTGGATGAGTAAAGGTTGGATAAGCGAGACTCTAATGTATCTCGTATTTTCTAAACTGGCACTCCACTTTCAGAGAGCCCTGTGATTCCCACAAACAATGGATCTAATTCTACACCAAACCTGGCACAAAGACACCCCCCCCCCCCAACCAGAGAGTCCTGCAACTACCCCGCAACAACGGATCTCAACCAAACTTGGACCACAGACCCAACATGGAAGTTTGGGGAGAATTTGACCCACAATGTTGGGAGTTGCAATTCACCCACATCATTATGCATTTTTAAATGAGAGCATTCATAAAAACAAAAGCAAACAAAGACTATGTCTAATGTCTAATGTATTGTCGAAGCCTTTCATGGCAGGAATCACCGGGTTGTTGTTTTTTGAGGTTCTATGGCCATGTTCCAGAAGCATTCTCTCTTGACATTTCACCTGCATCTATGGCAGGCATCCTAAGAGGTTGTGAGGTCTGTTGGAAACTAGGAAAATTGGGTTTATATATCTGTCTGGAGTTCCCCTGTTTTTGAAAGTAAGAAACCATGAAAATGAACAAAATCTGGCTACCAGTATTTTAAAAAAACTCTAAAACCATAACAATAAATAAAGAACAACTCAAAAACAGACAAGAAACAATCAGGGACAGCTAATTATCTCTCAACAAAGGATTCTCCCAGGCAGTAAGAAGTCACACTTTGAAACAGCTAGGCCATTAAATGCTAATCAAGGCGGCCAATTGATTCACAGCTGCCTCCAACAAATAAGAGTTCTTTCTCCCACCCTGGACATCTCACAGGTATATAAACCATTTTCCTAGTTTCCAACGGACCTCACAACCACTGAGGATGCCTGCCATAGATGCAGGCAAAATGTCAGGAGAGAATGCTTCTAGAACATGGCCAGACAGCCTGAAAAACTTACAACAACCCAAAGACTATGTCTTATAAACAGCATTACAAAAGACCTAATCTGCGCATCACCAGGTACCTAAACTAGCTTACTGAATGTATCTTAAGTCAATCTTCTGGTCTCAGATTGGAAAATATTTGGATGAACACAAATAATCAATAAGGACAAGAAATAAGATTGTTAAAAAGCAAGACTGATGATGTAGTCGTTCGAGTCTCAGACTCTTTGGCTGAGATCCTACATCTGGATACTTGCCAGAAGTATTGTTTTTAGGATTATACAACACTATGCAAGCCTGGTAAGGCTTTGCCAGCATGACTGAATGGTGAAGAATACTGGGCGGTACAGTGCACCTCCAAAAGACCATGTTTTGCCCACCGATTTAAGCTTCTATATCAGAAGAGCAGCTCAGCAAGCTTACAATAAAAAGACATCAGCATCATAAGCCTCGAGCCTCCCCTCTCCTTTTGAGAAGGGGCTGTCGCTTGGAAACAAAAAAAAAAAACCACTGTGTTTTGCACACAGAACCTCATGGGTTCGATCCTTGGCATTTCCAGTTCAAGGGAGAGGAGGGGGAAGAGAAAAAAAATAAACCTCATTATATTAACCAAGCCTCATCTCCCCGTACCTAAGAACTTAATGGTGCCCCTTGTGTTTGACATTTCAGCGCCAGGTTCCTACATCATTAGTTATATGAGTAATTCAAGAACCCCCAGGATCTCTTCAGCTGCCCACACAGAAAACAGCTGCCTCAGAGCGGCCAGCCTCTTTCCGAAGGCAGGCTAGTTTGAGCTGGCATCCAGAGTCATCCCAGGTTTCACCACTTGCTTTCAGAGGCAGAACATCTTGAGAAAGATTGCAGGAGCTGGAGGGCCTATTAAGACAATGACTTCAAACCACTGCTCTTCACCTGGATGAAACCTGGGGCTGCAGAGCACACAAATAACCTTGGGACCCTGAGGTTAGCTTACCCAACAGGGCTGTTCTGAAGGGAAAGAAGCATATGCAACACATGGTTTGTGGTCTCAAAGCACCTAGAAAATATACCCCAGGATCGTGTATATTTGTATAATCGTGCCTCCCCGGGCTCCAGGACTCAGGGGGTAGACTTTTGAGTTTTGTAACTCCTTTAAAACCTATGTAACAGGTGTAGTTTATGGGTCAAAATGTTAACCTGCATTTCAACTGTATGTATCTTGTTCTGTTCCTGGTTCAAAAAATGTTCTGTTCCTGGTTTGAAAGGGTTATTTCCGGTTTCATAAACTTTTCATAAACAATAAACTTTTCCTGTGTTTTTATGACAAAACCAATTAGGAAATGACAAAAATTGTATTGTCTTGTTTCTCTCCCTGGGTAATAATTTGTTATTATTATCATTATCAAAAACCTACAACAACACATTATCATTATTATTATTATTATTATTATTATTATTATTATTATTGCTGGTTCTACACTGCCATATAATGCAATCTGAACTGCACAATATAGTTCTATACCAGCTTTTCTAAACTTGGAGGGGGGGGGGTAGTGTGAGGGTGTCAGAGGGGTCATCAAAGACTATAAAAAAAACAGTATTTTCTGTTGGTCATGGGGGTTCTGTGTGGGAAATTTGGCCCAACTCTTTCGTTGGTGGGGTTCAGAATACGTTTTGGTAAACTATAAATCCCAGCAACTACAACTCTTAAATGTCAAGGTCTATCTTCCCCAAACTCCACTGGTGTTCACATTTGGACAAATTGAGTATCCGTGCCAAGTTTGGTCCTGATCCATCATTGTTTGAGTCCACAATGCTCTCTGGATGTAAGTGAAGTACAACTCCAAAATCAAGGTCCGTGTCCACCAAATCCTTCCAGTATTTTCTGTTGGTCATGGGAGTTCTGTGTGCCAGGATTGGTTATTAATGTTCCCATTAGAAAATCCATAAGGATGTGGGTGAACTACAACTCCCAAAATTGTGATTCAATCCTCCCCAAATCCCACCAGTATTCACAGTTGGACATGTTGAGTCTGTGTACCAAGTTTGGTCCAGATCCATCATTCTTTGAGTCCACAGTGCTCTCTGGATGAAGGTGAACTACAACTCCAAAACTGAAGGTCAGTGTCCACCAAACCCTTCCAGTATTTTCTGTTGGTCATGGAGGTTCAATGTGGGATGTTTAGTCCAATTCTATTGTTGGTGGAGTTCAGAATGCTCTCTGAGTATAGGTTAACTATAAATCCCAGCAACTGCAACTCCCAAATGACAAGGTCTATTTCCCCCAAACTGCACCAAAGTTCACATTTTGGCATATTGAGTAATTGTGCCAAGTTTGGTCCAGATCCATCATTTGAGTCCACAGTGCTCTCTGGATGTAGGTGAACTACAACTCCAAAACTCAAGGTCAGTGTCCACCAGACCCTTCATGGTCATGGGAGTTCTGTGTGCCAAGTTTGATTATTAATGTTCCCATTAGAAAATGCAGAAGGATGTGGGTGAACTACAACTCCCCAAATTGTGGGTCAATCCTCCCCAAATCCCACCAGTCTTCACAGTTGGCCATATTGGGTCTGTGTGCCAAGTTTGGTCCAGATCCATCACTGTTTGAGTCCACAGTGCTCTCTGGATGTAGGTGAACTACAACTCCCAAACTCAAGGTCAATGCCCACCAGACCATTCCTGTATTTTCTGTTGCTCATGGGAGTTCTGTGTGCCAAGTTTGGTTCAATTCCACCACTGGTAGAGTTCAGAATTGCTCTTTGATCGTAGGTGAACTATCAATCTCAGCAACTACAACTTCCAAATGACAAAATCAATTCCCCTCCCAACGCCACCAGTATTCCAATTTGGGCGTATCAGGTATTTGTGCCGTATTTGGTCCAGTTAATGAAAATCCATCCTGCATATCAGATATTTACATTATGGTTCATAGAAATAGCCAAACGACAGTTATGAAGTAGCAACGCAAATGTGACTTTAAAGTGGGGGGTGAATTCTTTAAAAAAATCCTTCTGCCATTTCAATCGAAATGTCTTAACTTGGCCTTCAAGGCACCCCCAGCTCGCTGTTCAAGGGGGGGATCCCTTTCAGGTGGTGCACTGGGCCCCTGAGCATGTGCAGAGTGATTTCCTGAATGGGGACTGAAGGCAGTTGGCTCCACTTTGAGATCCTGGGCGTTGTAGTTCCACGAGGCCCATGCGGAGCGGGCCTCACCAAGCTACAGCCCTCAGGACCCCGTCGCCCGGAGCCAGGGCAGCCAAAGCGGTGTCAAACCGGGTTAACTGGACCGTGTAGCTGCCCACTCCCCGCTGCTTACCTGGCCCCCGGCCGGGAGCCCACGCTTCGGCTGCCCCTGGGCATGTTGCCACTCGGCCTCTCCTCCTGCCTTCACCGCCGGCCTGCCTTCCCGACGAAGGAATGACCCAACTCTCCTTGAGCTTACCGTTACGCAGCGGATTCCAAGACATGGAGCTCACGTGGCCGCCCGGGTTCAACTTCCCCCCAATTAGAACGCCGCCTCTGCGCAGGCGCACTCGGGCCGGCCTCCCTCACTTGGGCCTGCCAGGTGGTTTGGACTTCAGTCCCCAGAATTCCTCACTGCTGGCCAAAATGATTGGGGCTTCTGGGAGTTGAAGTCCAAAATTAGCTGAAGAGCCATGTTTGGCCATCACTGCCCCAAACTCTGGTCTTCCAGGGGTTTGGGGCTTCATTTCCCAGAATGCCAGATCATTGGCCAGAGTGGCTGAGGGCTTATAGAATCATAGAATATAGAGTTGGAGGAGACCACATGGGCCATCCTGTCCAACCCCCTTCTGCCATGTAGGAAATCAAAGCACAATCAAAGCACTCCCGACAGATGGGCATCCAGCCTGTCTAAAGGCCTCCAGAGATAGATAGAATCATAGAGTTGGAAGAGGCCACATGGGCCACCTAGACCAACCCCCTGCCATGCAGGAAAAACACAAAGTATCCCTAACAGATGGCCATTCAGCCTCTGTTTAAAGGCCTCCAGAGGAGATAGATAGAATCGTAGAGTTGGAGGAGGCTACATGGGCCACCTAGTCCAACCCCCTGCCATGCGGGAAAAACACAATTAAAGTATCCCTAACAGATGGCCATCCAGCCTCTGAAGGCCTCCAGAAGAGATGGATAAATAGATAGATAGATAGAATTATAGAGTTGGAAGAGGCCACATGGGCCACCTAGTCCAACCCCCTTCTGTCATGCAGGAAAAGCACAATCAGAGCACCCCCGACAGATGGCCATCCAACCTCTGTTTAAAAGTTTCCAATGAAGGAGCTTCCACCAGACAGAGAGTTCCACTGTTGAACAGCTCATATGGTCAGAAAGTTCTTCCTAATGTTCAGGTGTAATCTCCTTTCCTGTTACTTGAACCCATTGCTCCATTGAGTCCTAGTTTCCAGGGCAGCAGAAAACAAGCCTGCTCCCTCTTCCTTATGACTGCCTTTCTCATATTTATCCATGGCTCTCATGTCTCCTCTCAACCTTCTCTTCTGCAGCTAAACAGGCCCAGTTTTTTAAGATGCTCCTCAGAGGGATTATTCATGGTCTCCAGGCCTTTGATCATTTTAGTCACCCTCTTCCTCTGGACACCTTCCAACTTGTCAATATCTCTTTTGACCTGCGGTGCCCAGAATTAGTCACAGTATTTCAGGTGAGGTCTGACCAGAATAGAGACACCATGACTTCCCTCGATCTAGACACTATACTTTTTGATGCAGCCCAACAATCCCATTGGCTTTTTTCGCTGCTGCATCACACTGTTGGCTCCTGTTCAACTTGGGACTTGGCTTCTGGATGTTGAAATCCAAAATAGCTGGAGGAGCCATGCTTGGCCATCAAAGCCTCAAACTCTGGTCTTCCAGGGGTTTGGGACTTCATCTCCCAGAATGCCAGATCATTGGCCAGAGTGGCTGAGGGCTTCTGGGATTTGAAGTCCAGAACTCCTGGAGGACTAGAGTTAGGCCACATTTCTTCCCATAGAGGAGCAAATCTAACCTGTTTCCAAGGGTACATCAATATTGTGTAGTTAATACTGCTTTTGACTCTGCTTTAACAGTCATGGCTCAAAGCTTATGGAATCATGGGAGTTGTTGTTTTCCAAGGTTTGGGGCCTCCTCTGACCAAGAAATTGTATTTTTTGTAATGAAAAGGAATGGAAATGTAATAAATTTATTAACCTCATTTTCCTAGTTTCCAATAGATCTCCCAACCTCTGAGGATGCCTGCCATAATTGCAGGTGAAAGGTCTGGAAAGAATGCTTCTGAAATATAGCCATACAGCCCAGAAAACTCACAACCCAGTGATTTGGGCCATGAAAGCTTTCAACAATACATAATAAAATGATTAATTAAAAAAAACTGAGTCTGAAAGAAACCCTGCAACTCACATGTTTCCAGAGCCTTGGAAACTAAAGTGGCATTCATTCTACAGTGTGGATGCACCCCAAGACAGACTTTTGTTGGACCTCTCATACTACACTTTATAGTGCTATGATCCTACATGAATTGCCATGGCAACGTGGGAGAGAATGCTGGGGTCTGCAGTGTAAGGACGGAAATGGTACTTCATTCAACTACAAACACCAAGATTCCCCAAGTGCTGTTAAATCATACCACTATAACAATGCAATGTGACAGGGCTGTAGTCAGAATCCTGTGTCATTGTTCCCATTATTCAAATATTAACAATAAAAATAGTAAAATATTAAATTCGACACAAGAGTCAGTTAATAATAATTTCCTGCCAAAGATCTTCATTAACAAAAGGTAGCATCAACAAAACCTCTTTTCCAATGTAAAGAGAAATGTGATGCTATTGCTATACTGATTACCAAAGTCAGACAGTGATGTCAAAAGGTGCGTCTACACTGTAGAATTAATGCAACTGCCATGGCCTAATGCTATGAGATCCTGGGAGTTGTTGTTCAGTGAAATGTGCAGAGAAGGCTAAAGACCTTGCAATTTCTCCATTCGCTGATATGGACTGTGCTGACTTCAACTACGAAGTGTAGCTGAAACCGGATCTTGTACTTTAGACTCTAAAGATCTCAAGCCTCTGCAAGGATCAACCCATCTCGACTTTTCATAGCTCTGTGGCCTCTGCGCACTTTGTCCTTTGCCTTCCGGAAACAGTGAGAGTGTCCCATGAAGTTTCAAAGAATTCGACCTTGGGGCTCTTTTAACTACAGCCAAGAATGTGGGCTTCTATTTGAAGGGCAGGAAGGAGACGTGATGATACATGTAGTTTTGGTGATTGTGCTACACCTTTTTTGACAGTTTGTAATTGTTTGTTTTCATGAGATTTGAACTGAATTGTTTTCATTATATTTATATTTTGTAGGTTTCATTGTATAGTTCTGTGAGCTGCTTTGGGTCTCAATCCAGAGAGAAAAGCAGGGTACAAAATAATAATAATAATAATAATAATAATAATAATAATAATAATTCCAGTATATATATATATATCATTTGCTGTGACATACTATGTTTTGTGTCAGAATAATAATAATAATAATAATAATAATAATAATAATAATAATAATGGCTGATGGAAATGACAATGCATTTATTTATGAGTTGGAGGAGTTGTTAGCTCAAAAAATCCACTGCGATCCCACACAATCACATAACAAAAACCAGTGTCTGTTATTGTATCCTTTTCTCTCTCTGGCTGCAGCAAGGCTGCTATTCATTATTCTATTATTATACAATCAGTCAATGGTTCAAATAAGACAGGTAGATCTGCATTTTTCCAACAGGATGTTGCTGAGGGATCATCTAATAAAGTCTTGGGATAGCTAGGTTTCCAGCTTGCATGACCATACTAAAAATGAATCCAGAATACTCTACTTCTGAGAATTTGAATTTCTTTTCCATATGGAAATGCTAAAGATTTAAGTTGGGACCTTTGGGGCTTAAAGCACTCACTCTGCCATTGAGTTCATGTCCCTTTCTATGAAAGAGCTGAAGGAAAAAAGACAGGCAAGGATGATGAAGAGTTTGGGAGCAGGGTTAGAGACTTCACCAAGTCCATTTGATAGCAACCTGTTTTGTTGCAGCTCAGATCAGGTTGAAAATGATGTAAAGGTGACTCCACGTTCCTGAACTGTGAGCCACCTTCTGTTCATTTCTTGGGGAAATTACAATAAAATCCACCCTCTACAGCACCTTTTGTCACTCACTGTGCAAACATAAGAAAAATTAAACACCACGCAGGCCTTCCGATCAGTCAGCTAGTTCCAAGAAGGTTACAGCTTGCTACCTAAAATGTGTGTTTACCCTACCAGGACAGAAATATTGGAATAGTACAGAAAGATGTTCTGACTTCAATTCTTCAACAGCTTTAAACAGATGTTCTTTGTATTCAAGACAGTTGTATGAAATCCAGAACAGAGTAATCTAAAGTCAATAAATGATGCTTGGTGTTACCTGCTGGGTTGAAAAAAAAAAGGTCATGTTAGAGTGTTAAAATCTATATCTCTAGAAGCTTCCCCTTTCCTCTAATGTTCTTGGATTTGACAGTCTTTCTGTTTCAATCACTGTCAGACTAGAGGCTGTAATGTTGTGAATTAAAAGTGCTTTGCTATTGCCGGTTTGTTTATTTTTGGTTTTGACGCATGTACATATTATTCTCCCTACATAATTTGTACAATAACCTGTTTGTACTTGGTGATATCAATTATATTGCTTCACCTGCAAGTGAAATTCTGCTTAATATACTAAGTTTGGCTAGTCAGTGTGCCCTCCAAGGAGACTGTTTTCCTGACATGAACACAAATGATATACAGCACTTGAATTCACAAGGATGTGATCAGAGACCGCTTATCTGAAGACAGCTCTCACTGGTAATTTCTAAAGATTCAGATGTCAATAGAAAGCTCTAACAGGCAGTTGAGTGATAACTGTAGCATAACAATGCATGGATATTAAACATAATCAATCTTTTAAAATCATGAAATGGTACAGTAAAACCAAGAGCTATGGAGAACAATGTGATATAGTAATCAGGAGAGTGGTGGGCACTGCCTACTCAAGCCTGTTTCTACCATCCTTAATCCCTTCAGATTTCTCCTTCTGACTCACTTCTGGCCAACGGGAAATGAGAAATTACCTTGCCTCGAAGCCCCACAAATTGGCAATCCATATAGATAGCAGATCCACTTATTGTTGAATACAAAAGGCTCATTCTGTAAAGTCAGTAGAATTCTGCCCACTCAACTTGCCACCACTCCTTTGTGGTTTAGGACAGGACTCCTTTCCATTCAGGATCCCCTTTGGCCCAAGAAATTTGTACTTGATGCCAGGTATATTGGTATATAAAATAGGTATAAAAATCAAACATTTACAGATAACAAATCGGCATCTGCAAGGCTTACTAAACAAGCTGATTTCCCTTTTTTATGAAGTGCTGCTGAAGCATCTTGTGCAGTGTTTACAGACCCCACTATAAACACTGCACAACATGTAACATTCAAAAACCTTTTGTCAAATTTTCCAGGACCTCAACATTGAGCTAAGGGGACCCCATTTGGGACCCCATTTTTACCATATGTGGTGCCCATGTAAAAATGTCCAGAAATACTGGACACAAATACATACGGTTTTAGAAGAAATTGTTATAGTCAAATTTGAAATGAAACCTGAACTCTATCTGCTTGGGATGTTCGATGAACAACTTGATAGAAAATATTATTGCTATGCATGATAACAGCAGTCAGAATGTTCTATGCTCAAAGATGGAAAGACTCGGTGATTCCATCCCAAGATAACTGACTTAGGAAAATAAGTGAACTTGCCAAAATGGATAAACTTACTACTATAGGTTATGTTTTAATTTGTCTTAATAAAAAATAATTTTAAAAAGAGGCTCTGGTTTAGGGTGCTGAACTGGGATGTAGAAAATTCAGGTTCAAGTCTCCACTGAGTTATGAGCCGGTGATTTGGTCGCCGTCTGACCAACCTCAAAGGGTTGTTGTGACAATACTGTATGGAAAAAGAGAGTCATGTAAAATGGTGGGTACAATGTGATTAAGAAGTAGGCAAGTCCCTAACCAAAAAAAAAAAAAAAAAGCAAACAAGTCCAAACACCAACCTCAATTCTAAACTTTTTATTGAGTTCCAAACAGAAACAAGAGCAGATACACATATTGCCCCTCCCCTTATCAAGGAAGTGCTACAACACTGGTTAATGTGTGAGTCAAGCCAATAAATCTCTAAAAACATCTGCTATAGCCTGCCTAAGAACAACACTGGTGGGGAGAAAGACAGATCCATCTCCATGTGTAACACTGGCAAAATATACTGGTAGAGGGAGGGGACAAGAACCCAACAATAAAAAACAGCTTTTAAAAGGTTGCAAGTACTATTAACATCTTGCTAAAACATGAAGGCAATGAAAGATAAGAGGAACTTAATGAGAAAAGATGACAGGCAAAAGCAATCAAAAGAGCAACCCCAATACTGTCTAAAGGGAGGCTCACTATCATATTTAAACACATCAGAAACACAGAGGGCCAGTATACTTTGTGCCTCCCTTCCCACTAAAATACCCCCAGGGCTTTCTGAGCTTATGAGCAGAGCCATGAAAGAGAAAGAGGCTGTAGACCCACATGTGGCCCTTCAGAGGCTGCTGGGCTGCATCAGGTTGTTTCTGAGGGATGGTGCAGTCCATCATTATCTTGAAGGCCACACAGACTTAACTTGTTAAAACAGATTACATTAATACATTACCAACTAACCAAGCAAAATGAAAGTGCATGCTCCCACACAAGCATCAGGAGCAGTATGGGATTTCCAGTATCATCCCAGTAATTTATGCAACACTAAAGGTAAGGGGTGGTACAGAAAAGCGTGCATTGGAACAGGGCAAGAGGCCAGCTTTACTTTCCAGATAACTGCTCATAGACCTTTGGGACATAATCATCCCACTCAGCCTGGTAGCAAGTGCCTGCCACAGGGGTTCCCAGCTTATACTTCTTGCGGAAATAAGACACATGGAAATTGCTGCGCTGATCCGCCGAACGGTTGCTGAGGGTAGGCTCATTGCAGTTCAGTTCCTGGGGCTGCTGATAGACCAGCCACACGTAGCGATGGAGCCCTGTCAGACACAAGAGAGGGGGGGTAAGATCCACCGATGTAACCAGGCAATTCAAAGCTGTCTCCAGGCAACTTCAGGCTTCTCTGCAAAATTGCCCACTTTCTTTGGCTACTTCATAAAATATGCACTGATAGTGTTACAACAAATGGACAAACCCTCTAAAGAATTTGCACTACAACTCCTATTATCCCTGACCACTGGCCATAATGACTACAGTTTATTCTTTGCAGGGAAGCAATGTAGGGAAAACTGCCATACAATGTCGAAGTCTGCAGCTTACAAAGCCTGTTGGAAGCTGACCACTAATTCTTGCAATGAGGAACCTGAACCAATGTGGCAGGACGATAGAAAGAAAAACATCCTGGCAGACCCAAGCACCTTCACCTTTGTCTTTCTTTTATTGATAAGCAGAGTGCTATTCTTTGGTTACATGCTATTCCTGCTTATTTCCCAAGAGGTTAAATGTTGTTGTTTCTTTGTTCTAGAAGGCAGCCACACAGCTCTGTAATACTAGCGTTTGCACCTGTACTCGAGAAAGCCAACTCTGGGGTTTTTGTATACTACATTAAGATTTCTCATCTATCCCTGAATACATTTCTAGCAAAAATGTAATGCATGTTTCTCTTTCTTTCTTTCTTTCTTTCTTTCTTTCTTTCTTTCTTTTCTTTCAACAGATATAAATCCCACCACCAAATCACTGTGCCCCACTAGTATAAATAGTCTATATTTGTATGATAGTAATAATAATAATAATATAATAATAATTTTATTTTTGTACCCTGCCTCCATCTCCCCGAAAGGACTCGGGGCAGCTTACATGGGGACAAGCCCAATCAACACAGTTAAAATGTAACACATTAAAATGCATAACAACAGCATAAAACAAAATAAAACAACATTATAACAATATATAAAACAGGCATCAAACCAACAACCAATAATAAAATTCAATTTCTCATCATAGGTAAAAAGTAAAAACACAATAGGGCATAGTTTAAACAACTGCTTAGGCATAACTGAATCATTCCAGGATTCACTGGGTCAGCCAATTAAGAAATCATTCACAAGATTTCTTTAAAAGTTTATTTTATTTCCTCTTCTTGATGCATAGAGCAAAGGCAATGGTGCAGACCATTGAAACCCAACTGTTTTGCATGACTTCTTTCTTTTGCCTCTCACTCCTAGCTTACAGAGAGGCCCGGGGCTTCTGCCTAGAAGGACCAACTCAAAGATTCAGAGAGTAAACAGACACTCCATCAAAGTGGCCTGAGTGGTCTGTAAACAAAGAAGATACAGGTTACCTACCTGACCCTTTCGGAGGAGCAGATCCAATGTAGTCTGACAGGACACAACCACTATTGATGTCATTACCCTTCATGTTGGCCACAAGGAAGTGGTGCCACTCCCTAAAGAAGAAAAGAATCTGCCTCAATTTCTTCACTGATGGAGACCCAAATAGGTATGCAGAATGTCATGTACGCAGAAGATATTTCAACTAGGACATGGAACAATGGCTTCAAGCTACAAGAAAAGAGATTCCAACTGAACATTAGGAAGAACTTCCTGTGAGAGAGAGCTGTCCAGCAGTGGAACTCTCTGCCCCTAACTGTGGCGGAGGCTCTTTCATTGGAGGCTTTTAAACAGAGGTTGGATGGCCATGTGTTGGGGGTGCTTTGAATGTGATTTTTCTGCTTCTTGGCAAAATGGGGTTGGACTGGATGGCCCACGAGGGCTCTTCCAATTCTGTGATTCTATTATATTTCAGACAGTCAGTTGTCAGTATCTGAATCCAAAGGGCAACTGAATATATATTTGCATGTTGGAAGAGGTGCTGGATTTTTTCTAACACATGCATATGCCAGTTAACAAAATATCTGCCCAAAAACATATTTTATAGTTTTTTTCAATAACTTTTTCCTTTTTTTCAACAGGATCAATGTTGGATTGGAGCAGACTACCTACAGTAAAGAATGGAATAGAGTTTGAGCTGGAAGAAAACAGGATTCTGCTCTAGCTTATTCTACTGTAGCTGTAGCAGGCAAAGTAAACACCTGCCTCTAGAAGATATAACTAGGGAGAAAGGGGGGAAACAGACAAGCCTGCTTCACCAGCTACCTCAAGCCTGTTAAAAACCATGCATCTATAGGTTTGGATATCAAAATTGAAATCATCAGAACAGAACAAATTGATGAAAGGAAAAAACACATCCTTGGATACATTTTGGAGAGTTTTCAAGTGCTCCCTAAAAGGTTCAACATGTTTTTGTTTACTTATGTAAGACTTAACATCTTTCATTCCATATGTGCATATTGTTAGTTTTGAATTAAATGTTTACAAAAAAAGTTGAACCACTCTTCCTTTTTGTAGTGTAAAAAACTATTTCTATTTTTTCTGTTATTTCTAGTAACAATTTTTTGTTAAAGTGATGCTCAGGAACACATTTCCTTTGTCCCTCAGGTATAGAGAAGGTATGCTGCTTCTTCCCACTTCATTCCAGTCATTCAGCTCTTGATTCTTATTTTAAAAGACTGACAAAACAAAGAAAGAGGAGGGAGCTCTCTGATAGAAGAGCCTAGAATGGTGTTACTGCAACCAAGGGCCCTTTGGACACTTTGGACTACAGTATTTGTGCTGACTGGAAGATCCTGGGAGTTGTAGTCTGAAAAAGTAACTTTTTCCAAGTTCTGACTGTCACAAGGGCCAACCAAAATTAGATTTCCTCGAGTTCACCCCAGAGGGAGGACCCATATGCTTGCCTAGTACGCTCAACCTTTAGCTCATGGGCATCTGTAGGTATTTCAAGAGTGTTCCAGCCTCAAACGGGAGGTCACACAGACCTGTAACCCATAATATGACCAACACAAGCACTTTGAGTATATGGCCCTTTGTTAGAGAATTGATCTTTTAGACTGAGGAAGAGGCTTTTAAGAAGAGGAAAGTTTACTATATAGCAAAATTTGAAAAAATCTGTTCCTGGTTTGAAAGTTTTATTTCCTGTTTACTTACTTTGTGGGATACTTATTTTGAAAGTAGTTTAGAAGCTTCATTGATGTGGATGCCACAAATTATGTTGAATTGGTGGAGACTCTATTAGATATTCATTGAATAACTATACCAAAATGTGCTGCAGGATGTCTCGCAAAAACCAAGTTTTTGCAGTTTAATAAACGTTTTCCATGTTTTTATGATAGAACCAATTAGGAAATGACATTTATAACGCAGGAACAAAAATCGTGTTACATAGTGCTGTACTTTTTACCATTTTAAATTCAATTGCACTGCAATGTTATAATTAATTTGATTGTGCTTTAAGAGTCTTGTACCTGTTTTTATTTATACCTGATAATAAAGAACACAGGAAGGTACAATTTCTCAGTTTTCAGTTCATGTGGTATTCTTCCTCTAGCTTACTTCCTCTAGCTTACTGACGCACACCAGCACATATGTGCACTGATTGAAATCAGTGTCCAAAAAAAATACGGAAGAAGTCTTGAAGCAATCATAGAGCTGTATCATGGCAGGTTTTCCCCCCACAGCAACCAATCAAGGTACACGTGCACTGATGTATAAGAATAATCCATTAAAAAGAGCAGCAAATGAAAACTTCTGCAAGGTGCACAATCACCTCACCTCCAAGTATACATTTTGGAAAAAGTCCCAAGTTAAAAATCAGAACAAACTTTTAAGAGCAAATCAAATTAACTGATTAATTACAGAATGAAATGGGGCAGGCTGTTCGTTTAATTTTTATAATGCCCTTCTCCAATCATGGTAAATTAAAGACAAAATTTTAAAAAGTACAGCTAACAACATGAAGTTAAAAAAAGATATCCTGCTAAAACACAAGCAATTTAAAACAGTACAAAAGCATATAAAAGCACAGCAATTTGAAAAAAGTACAGTACATACCCTATTAAAAAACCTTTCTACACAATAGGTTAATTGCTAAGTGGCTGTTTTTTTAAAAAAAAGCTCTTTACATGCTAATGGAAGGGTCAAACTGGCCTTCTATTGAAAAACATTCCACATTCTGAGAGCAGCCTCCAAGGCCCCTTCCACACAGCCCTATATCCCAGAATATTGAGGCAGGAAATCCCACATTATCTAAGAGTGGACTCAGATAACCCAGTTCAAAGCAGATATCTGCCTTGATATTCTGGGATATAGGGCTGTGTGGAAGGGCCCCAAGAAGGCCTTCTCTCTGTACTCACCAGGTGGTCCTGTGACAAAGGTGGTATCAGGAGAAAGCCACCCCTTGATCTTTACCTCCAGCAAGCTGATTCCCAACCCCTTTGCCATGCAGTCAGGGCATGGGACACCTCTTACATGAAGCATTCAGATTATCTACTGGATCAAACACAGACATTCTAGATGGTCCCACATAATTCAAGCTCTCCCTGCCTCTCTCACCTGAATTTGGGATTTTTCCTGCTAGGGGCATCAGGGTCAGTAAGAACCAAACTATAGAATTTCTCTGGATCACAGGTTTCCCATTCAATGCTCGTTGGGCGATTCTTCACCTGCCAAAACAAAATGGCAAGGCAGTTACCATTTAAAAAGGTGAAAACACTGGATAATTTTCTTCCATTTACAGTAGACCATGATCTCCACCAACAGTGGAGCATCACATCCTATACATAAAATGGCAGTAAATTTTCAAATCATATCTCATATCAGAGGGAAATTTAACACCTTGCTTCCAACAACTGCTTTCTATCATTTACAATAATTATTTAATTTAAGGACACTGTTCTATTATTTGGGCATATGTTGCCCAACTGGTAAATGCCCTCCAGTGGTTTAAAAGTATTACAGAAAAGTAAATTTTGCCATTTCAATTTCTGATTTAGTCACAGAAGTCCTATCAGATTTTTTAAAAAGTTGGCAGACAATCCAACTAGTGGTCCAAAGCCCCATAACAAGTGGCCTCTCCAACAGCTGCTCCAGGCTAAATGGGAGATCTCCCAAGCCCAATCTCATGTAGGAACATTAATACTAACTGACAAGTGTTTCCTGAATTTTCAACCCACCTTTCAAAGTATTTGATCTTATTGAGGCAGCTAAGGATTTCAAACATTGAAGTCAGACACATATAAAAAAAAGAAGCAATCTAAATTAGCAAACATTATAAAAGAACAGTTAGGTAAACTTCAAATTAAGTATTTCTCAACTTTTGAAACATTTGTCTATGCTACCTTCAGAAAATGTGGCAATAATCTTGAACAGAGAACTGCAAAACTTCACAGAGACCAGAGGCTCCTTCCACACAGCTGAATAAAATCCCACACTATCTGCTTTGAACTGGTATATATGGCAGTGTAGACTCAGAGAACCCAGTTCAAAGCAGGTATTATGGGTTTTTGTGCCTTGATATTCTGGGTTATATGGCTGCGTATAAGGGCCCTAAGAAGCACTGCTCCTTTTCAGGACCTGGAGGCACAGTTTCTCTGTGTGATTCCTTTCCATCTTACTGAACCTAGCAATCCAACAGCAGAACTACATATATTTCATTCTTTCCTCATCACATTGACATCCCTGTGTTCTTTCAGTAAGATTAAGGACTCTTTCACACTACACAATTATGGTACTATGATTTCACTCTTAACTATCATCACAACATTCGACAGAACCATGGGTTTGTAGTTTGAGCTTTCTGGTAAAAAAAAAAAAGTGACTGGTCCAGGATCACTCAGCCAATGTCTCTACCACAGTCCCCAACAACAGTGACATGCAGATACTTGTTTATAAAGAGGAAGAGAGGGTGGGGTATAAAACAAAGTATGTATATATATATATATATATATATATATATATATATATATATATGCAAATTAACAACCTTAGATATGCAAATGATACCACTTTGATGGCTGAAAACGAGGAGCAGCTGAGGAGCCTTCTAACCAAGGTGAAAGAATAAAGTGCAAAAGCTGGGTTGCAGTTAAAGATAAAAAAACAAGATTATGGTAACCAGACTGATTGATAACTGACAAATGGGGGGGGGGGTAAACATGGAGCCAGTGACAGACTGTATTTCTAGGTGCAAATATTACTGTAGATGCAGACGCAGCCAATAAATCAGAAGACATTTACTTCTTGGGAGGAGAGCAATGGCCAATCTTGATAAAATAGTGAAGAGCAGAGACATCACACTGGCAACGAAGATCCACATAATTAAAGTAATTATATTCCCCGTAGTAACCTATGCATGAGAGAATTGGACCCTAAGGAAGGCTGAGAGAAAGAAGATAAGACGCTTCTGAACTGTGGTGTTGGAGGAAAATTCTGGGAGTGCCTTGGACCGAAGGAACATCAAACCAGTCCATACTCCAGGAAATAATGCCTGGCTGCTCAGTGGAGGGAAAGGATATTAGAGGCAAAGATGAAGTACTTTGGCCACATAATGAGAAGATAGGAAAGCTTGGAAAAGAGAATGATGCTGGGGAAAATGGAAGGAAAAAGAAAGAGGGGCCAACCAAGGGCAAGATGGATGGATGTTATCCTTGAAGTGACTGGCTTGACCTTGAAGGAGCTGGGGGTAGTGATGGCTGATAGGGAGCTCTGGCGTTGGCTGGTCCATGAGGTTATGAAGAGTCATAAGCAACTAAACGAATGAACAACAACATTTGCAAATTGGACCCTTCCAAGGGCTAATCAAAGAGGGCCTCCTTCAGGGAAGAATCCCAAAGACATACCTCCTCCTAAACTGCAGGGTTACCTGACAGCTACAAGCCAACATTTCAGTTTCCCATAATGTCCCAGAAAAACACTATACAAGGACCAGCCCTGTAGGAAATTCAATGCTGCAATTTAATGAACTGGTCTCAACGGTGCTAGCACAGACAGACCATTCCAGCTGTCAAGACTAACTGGCCATGAAAAAAATACTTGATACAAAATGTTATTCTGCACTGTCCTAACATACTTTTTACAAATTATTATCCAGGCAGGGAAACGGTTAGGAATGTTAAGGGCATGCTGTAAGATAATAGCTTGCAAATCAAAACAATGAATTCAAAAGAGAAGAACTCCGGAGTCAGTCTGAGAAAAAGCTCTCTACTTGGCATGTATGCTCACACAAGGAGACACAACTTAAAGTGGATACTTTTGAATTTTTTAGCATATATATGAAAAGAGGGTCTGCAAGCATTCGCGCGCACACGCCGACGGCATGCTCCAAAAACATATGCACCTTTAACAGCTTATAATTCTGGAAGCTTTATTCTGTCATTCTTTTTTTTTTTAAAAAAAACCAAACATATATAACCTTAACAGGATTAAAAATTCTGCTGGTAGACAAGCGTGGGGAATGACAAGAGAAATTTGAAATGAGGTTGGTGACTCTGTGCTTCCACAATGCAAGCAGGGCATGGCTGCACAAGGACGACTGTTGCAACACCTTACATAAAATACCTTTAAATGGAATTTGTAACTCTAGCTAGATCATTATGACAACATTTCTTCTTCAATGTAAATGTATTGATTTAGCCTTCAAGTAATCACCGGTGCTGGAATTAGCCGTTAAAGGACATATTCATTTTGGAGGGCCCCCTACAATAGACAAGGTCACCCTCTTTCAAAAACAACTAAAAGGCACAGAAAAAAAACATGGTTTATGTGTGCGATATAATTTTATATCAATTGTTACTGTGTGCCTTCATCAGTTCCAACATATGGTGACTGTGGGTGTATCTATACTGTCAAATGAATGCAGTTTGATCCCACTTTAACTGCCAGAGCTCAATCCTATAGAATCCCAGAAGTTGGAGTTTGGTGAGGCACCAGCACTCTTTGGTAGAGGAGGCTAAATATCTTGTAAAGCTACAACTCCCAGGATTCCATAGAATTGAGCTGTAGGAATTCAAATGGTCCCTAATTGCGTTCATTCTACAGTGCAGATGCACCCCTAATTAAGTGTGCGTGTAAATCTGATTGTTCTGTGGACTGCAAAGGCTGTAAGAGCCTCCTTCCACACAGCTGGAAAAAATCCCACATTTTCTGCTTTGAACTGGAATATATGGCAGTGCAGACCCAAATAACCCAGTTAAAAACAGATCTTGTGGGATTTTCTGTCTTGATATTTTGAGTTGTATGGCTGGGTGGAAGGGCTCCCAAACAACCCAGTTAAAAACAGATCCTGTGGGATTTTCTGCCTTGATATTTTAAGTTGTATGACTGGGTGGAAGGGCTCCCAAATAACCCAGTTAAAAACAGATCCTGTGGGATTTTCTGTCTTGATATTTTGAGTTGTATGGTTGGGTGGAAGGGCTCCCAAATAACCCAGTACAAAACAGATCCAGTGGGACTTTCTACCTTGATATTCTGGGTTATATGGCTGGGTGGAAGGGCTCCCAAATAACCCAGTTCAAAGCAGATCCTGGAAAAAATCCCACATTTTCTGTTTTGAACTGGAATATATGGCAGTGCAGACCCAGATAACCCAGTTCAAAGTAGATCTTGTGGGATTTTCTGTCTTGATATTTTGAGTTCAATGGCTGTGTGGAAGGGCCCTGAGAGGGACAAATAATGGTTTTCTGGTGATTTTTTGGACTAAAGTATTAACTGGGTGCCCCCAAGCTCCCAGCCTCTCCTGATCCTTCTAACAGGTCCAGGGAAGGGAAGGTACTCTGGACATGTCTCAGAGCCTGGCTTCATGGGTTGCATTTACACTGTAGAATCTATGCATAACACTTCAACTGCCATGGCTCAATGCTATAGAGTCATTGGGTTGGTGGTTTTACAAGCTCTTTAGCCTTCTCTGTCCAAGTGTGTTAGTGCCTCCCCAAACTACAAATCCTAAGTTCCTGTAGCATGGAGCTGTGCAATTAAAGTTGGGTCAAACTGCATTAATTCTACATCCCCAATTAAGGTGTTATATATGTGTGTGTGTGTGTGTGTATACACACACACACACCCCTATATTCCATCAATCTGCAGATTGCAAAGGCTGATCTCTCTTTCTCTCTTCCTTTAGCTGGATCTACAATCTTATCTATATAAAAATGCTCTGTGCGTAATGGGTACCTTAAAAACAAAAAAAACTACTGGGCCAAATAACCCCAAATTTGGCAACAAAACTCCTCACAATCCAAGGAGTGACCATCACTGGAAAAAACCCACAAAAACACCTCTAAATTCAAAATATTATTATATTAAATAGACTCATAGAATAGAGTTAGAAGGGACTCTACCATAGTATTGCGGGAGAACAGACAGGAAGGAAGGAGAGAAGAAAGGAAGGAGGGGAAAAGGGAAGGAATGTAGGAGGGAAAGAGAGAAGGAGGGAGGGAAAGAAGGAAGGAGGGAAGGAAAGAGGGAAGGGAGAGAAAGAAAGAAAGAGGTACAGAAGGAAGAATACAAAGTAGAAAGGAAAGAAAAAGGGGAGGAAAGGCAGGAAAGAAGTAAAGAAGGAAGGAAGGAGAAAAGGAAAGTGAAAGAAGGAAGGAAACAGGGAGGGAAGAAAGGAGACAAAGGAAGAAGTAGAGAAAGGGGGGAGGAGGAAGTAAAGAGAGAAGGAAGGATGAAACCAAAGAGCAAAAGAAGGAATGAAAAAAGAGGTAGAGAAGGAAGAAAGGAGAGAAAGGGGAAGGAATAGGTAGGTACCGCTCTTTCATAATAGTCCAGATATCTACCTCTACTTTGAAAATTCTTACTATAGGCCACAGTAACACGTGGCAGGGCACAGCTAGTGCCATATAATGCAGTTTGAATTGCATTATATGGCATTCTACACTGAACTGTGTTATATGGTCCATGTGGACCCACATAATACAGTTTGAACTACACTGAACTGCATCATGTAGGTCTACACTGCCTATATAATGCAATTCAAACTGCATTGCATGGCTGCTTGTGTTGGAGAGGGTCACATAACAGTTTTCTGGTGGTTTTAGTTGAATACCAAAGCAATAAGGGGGTGCACCAACCTCCCCACCTCTATGCCCCCATCTCCACTGCCACATAATGTGGTTTAACTGCATTATGTGGCAGTGAAGCCTCCTATAATACAGGGCCCTTCCACACAGCCATATAACCCAGAATATCAAGACAGAAAACCCTACAATATCTACTTTGAACTGGGTTATCTGAGTCCACATTGTCAAATATTCTAGTTCAAAGCAGAAAATGTGGAAGGGGCCCCAGAGCAATGCTGTTAAATGCCTTGAACTGGGTGATAGGGCAGTGTGGGTTATTCTGCCTTGATATTCTGGGTTATATGGCTGTGTGGAAGGGCCTTGAGTCGACACTGCCATGTATGCCAGCTCAAAGCAGATGTGGGTTTTTCTACAGTTGTGTGGACGGGGTCTGAGGACTCTTCTCCACTGCTACAAAATCCAATTTCTGAATACAATTCTGGCCTCATCACCACTGCCATAGAAACCATTCTCAGAATCCAGATGATCTGCTTTTAACTGAATAACTGGGGAGCGCACACTCCCATAATCCAGTTCAAAACTGACAACCTGGATTTAGAAAATGGATTATGTGGCAGTGGAGATGTGTCTGAAATTGCGTTTAGAAACTGGAGTCTATAAGCCTTTTCACACAGCTGTATAACATCCACGTTGAACTGGGTGATGTGGCAGTGTAGACTCAGAGCCCTTCAACACAGTCATATAACCCAGACCCCTTCCATACACCTGAATTAAATCCCACATTTCTGCTTTGAACCAGAATATATGACAGTGTGAACTCAGATAACCCAGTTCAAAGCAGATTCTCTGCCTTGGCATTCTGGGTTATAGTACTGTGTAGAAGGTCCCCCAGAATATCAAGGCAGATTCAAAGCAGATCTTGTGGGTGATCGGCCTTGATATTCTGGGTTGTATGGCTGGGTGGAAGGGCTCCCAAATAACCCAGTTCAAAGCAGATCCTGTGGGATTTTCTGCCTTAATATTCTGGGTTATATGGCTGTGTGGAAGGGCTCCCAAATAACCCAGTTCAAAGGAGATCCTGTGGGATTTTCTGCCTTGATATTCTGGGTTGTATGGCTGGGTGGAAGGGTTCCCAAATAACCCAGTTCAAAGCAGATCTTGTGGGATTTTCTGCCTTAATATTCTGGGTTATATGGCTGTGTGGAAGGGCTCCCAAATAACCCAGTTCAAAGCAGATCCTGAGGGATTTTCTGCCTTGATATTCTGGGTTGTATGGCTGGGTGGAAGGGCTCCCAAATAACCCAGTTCAAAGCAGATCCTGAGGGATTTTCTGCCTTGATATTCTGGGTTGTATGGCTGGGTGGAAGGGTTCCCAAATAACCCAGTTCAAAGCAGATCCTGTGGGATTTTCTGCCTTGATATTGTGGGTTGTATGGCTGGGTGGAAGGGCTCCCAAATAACTCAGTTCAAAGCAGATCTTGTGGGTGATCGGCCTTGATATTCTGGGTTGTATGGCTGTATGGAAGGGCTCCCAAATAACCCAGTTCAAAGCAGATCCTGTGGGATTTTCTGCCTTAATATTCTGGGTTATATGGCTGTGTGGAAGGGCTCCCAAATAACCCAGTTCAAAGCAGATCCTGTGGGATTTTCTGCCTTAATATTCTGGGTTATATGGCTGTGTGGAAGGGCTCCCAAATAACCCAGTTCAAAGCAGATCCTGAGGGATTTTCTGCCTTGATATTCTGGGTTGTATGGCTGGGTGGAAGGGCTCCCAAATAACCCAGTTCAAAGCAGATCCTGAGGGATTTTCTGCCTTGATATTCTGGGTTGTATGGCTGGGTGGAAGGGTTCCCAAATAACCCAGTTCAAAGCAGATCCTGTGGGATTTTCTGCCTTGATATTGTGGGTTGTATGGCTGGGTGGAAGGGCTCCCAAATAACTCAGTTCAAAGCAGATCTTGTGGGTGATCGGCCTTGATATTCTGGGTTGTATGGCTGTATGGAAGGGCTCCCAAATAACCCAGTTCAAAGCAGATCTTGTGGGATTTTCTGCCTTAATATTCTGGGTTATATGGCTGTGTGGAAGGGCTCCCAAATAACCCAGTTCAAAGCAGATCCTGAGGGATTTTCTGCCTTGATATTCTGGGTTGTATGGCTGGGTGGAAGGGCTCCCAAATAACCCAGTTCAAAGCAGATCCTGTGGGATTTTCTGCCTTGATATTCTGGGTTGTATGGCTGGGTGGAAGGGTTCCCAAATAACCCAGTTCAAAGCAGATCCTGTGGGATTTTCTGCCTTGATATTGTGGGTTGTATGGCTGGGTGGAAGGGCTCCCAAATAACTCAGTTCAAAGCAGATCTTGTGGGTGATCGGCCTTGATATTCTGGGTTGTATGGCTGTATGGAAGGGCTCCCAAATAACCCAGTTCAAAGCAGATCCTGTGGGATTTTCTGCCTTAATATTCTGGGTTATATGGCTGTGTGGAAGGGCTCCCAAATAACCCAGTTCAAAGCAGATCCTGAGGGATTTTCTGCCTTGATATTCTGGGTTGTATGGCTGGGTGGAAGGGCTCCCAAATAACCCAGTTCAAAGCAGATCCTGAGGGATTTTCTGCCTTGATATTCTGGGTTGTATGGCTGGGTGGAAGGGTTCCCAAATAACCCAGTTCAAAGCAGATCCTGTGGGATTTTCTGCCTTGATATTGTGGGTTGTATGGCTGGGTGGAAGGGCTCCCAAATAACCCAGTTCAAAACAGATCCTGTGGGATTTTCTGCCTTGATATTCTGGGTTATATGGCTGTGTGAAATGGCTCCCAAATAACCCAGTTAAAAACAGATCTTGTGGGATTTTCTGACTTGATATTTTGAGTTGTATGGCTGGGTGGAAGGGCTCCCAAATAACCCAGTTCAAAACAGATCCTGTGGGATTTTCTGCCTTGATATTCTGGGCTATATGGCTGTGTGGAAGGGCTCCCAAACAACCCAGTTAAAAACAGATCCTGTGGGATTTTCTGTCTTCATATTTTGAGTTGTATGGCTGGGCGGAAGGGCTCCCAAATAACCCAGTTCAAAGCAGATCCTGTGGAATTTTCTGTCTTGATATTTTGAGTTGTATGGCTGGGTGGAAGGGTTCCCAAATAACCCAGTTCAAAGCAGATCCTGTGGGATTTTCTGCCTTGATATTTTGAATTGTATGGCTGGGTGGAAGGGCTACCAAATAACCCAGTTCAAAACAGATCCTGTGGGATTTTCTGCCTTGATATTTTGAGTTGTATGACTGGGTGGAAGGGCTCCCAAATAACCCAGTTAAAAACAGATCCTGTGGGATTTTCTGTCTTGATATTTTGAGTTGTATGGCTGGGTGGAAGGGCTCCCAAATAACCTAGTTCAAAGCTGACCTTGGGCCCTTCCAGACAGCCCCTATATCCCAGGATCTGATGCCAGGTTTTCTGCATTTAACTGGATTGTGTGAGTCTGCAGTGCCAGATAATCTGGGATAAACAGAAATCCTGGGATATAGGGCCTGCCTGGAAGGGCCCCTTGTGGATTATTGCCCTTGAGATTCTGGCTGCGTGGCTGCGTGGAAGGGCCCTCAGGCTGCGTCTTCCACCCAAGGAGGCCGCGGCTGGGCCTTACCTGGGTCGGGGTCAGCACTTTGCCCAGCTCGTCGATCTCCACCGTGCCATAGCGGACCCGCAAGGGGTAGTCGGGCTTCTCCTCCACCTCGGGGAGGCTCAAGGGCCCTCCCCAGGCCGAAAGGTCCACGGGCATCTTAGCTGGCGAAGGCAGGCTCCCCTCCTCCTCCTCCTCCTCCCCGCAGCACGTCCCACCAAAAGCGCGCCCAGCCTCGGCCAGGGGCAGAAACGGCTCCCGTCTCCGGATTGACAGCGCCCTCCTCCAATCCCAGAAGAGCGGGCTTCCTGATCAGCGTTCTCATTGGCCGGGGCGGGAGCGAAGGGGTATTTCTGCCGTGGTACCACAGGGGCAGGTGGAAGTCTCTGTCTGGAAAAAAAAACTGTTGCTGTTTTTTTATATCGGGAGGAAAGGCGAGATAACAACAACAACAACAACTATTATTATTATTATTGTGACTTTACAATGCCAAAGTGAGGGTCGTGGCAACTGGTCTGAGCGCTCTCGGGCCCCATTTTCCCTCAGTTTTTCTCACATATTGTCCGTTTTTTCCCTCACAAACTGTCGACACGCTTGAATTGTCCTTCTGGCGCTTTTCGAATTCAGTACCCGAAGAATGTATTGTCTCTCAACACACCGAAGGGCCCTCTGTCCACACAGCCAAACAATCCACAATATCAATCAGAGAATCTCACAAGCTCTGCTTTGGACTGGATGATCTGAGTCCACGCTGCCATATCATACAGTTCAATGCGGATTTTACGTGTGGAAGGGTCTTTCGAAGCCCGTCTTGACATTTCCTTTTGTTTCTTCCTCCTCCTCTTCTATTTTTTCCTCTTCGTTCTCCTCTTTTTCTCCTTCCTTCCGCTTTCCTCCTTTTCTTCTTTGTCTTCCTCCTCCTCCTCGTCTTCTTTCAGCTCCTCTTCCTCCACTATTCTGTCTTCTTCCTCCTTTTTTCTATTCTATCTCCTCCTTTCTCTTTTTTCTTTCTCTTCTTTTAATTCCTTCTTCCTCTTTTTCCTGTTTTTCGTGGTCTTCTTACATCTCCTTCCTTTTTCTTTTCCTCCTCTTTCTCCACTTCTCTTTCTTCTTCCTTTTCTTTTTCTTCCTCTTCTTCCTCCTTCCTCCTCCTTCCGGCCTTCTTTCTCCTCCTCTTCCCCCACTTCTCCTCCTCCTTCTTCCTCCGCCTCTTCTTTTTGTTCTCCTTCCTCCTTCTCGTCTTTTTCCTTCTCTTCCTTTACTTCTTCTTCCTCCTCGTCTTTTTCCTCTTCTTTTTCTTCCCTCTCCTTCCTCTTTCTCTTTCTTTCTCCATTTTTTTCTTCTTCCTCCTCTTCCTCCTCCTCTTTTTTCCTGTTTTTCTTCTTCTTCTTACACCTTCCTTCTTTCTCCTTCTCTTCCTCCACTTCTCTTTCTTTGCCCTGCTCTTATTTTTCTTGTTTTTCTTCTTCTTCTTTCTCCTTCTTTTCCTCCACTTATTCTCTTTGTTATTCTTCTGCGTCCTTCCTCTTTCTCTTTCCTCTTCTTTCTCCACTTTTTTCTTCTTCCTCTTCTTATACCTCCTTCCTTCTTCTTTCTCCTCTTCTTCCTCCACTTCTCTTTTTTGCCCTACTCTTATTTTTCTTGTTTTTCTTCTTATTTCTGCGCCTCGTCCTCCACTATTGTCTTCTTCCTCTTCTTTTTCCTATTCTATCTCCTCCTTCCTCTTCCTTTTTTCTTCCTCTTTTTTCTTCCTTCTTCCTCTTTTTCTTTTTCTTCCTCTTCTTCCACTTCTCTTTCTTTTTCCTCCTCTTTTTCTCTTCTTCCTCCTCCTCTTCTTCCTCCACCTCTTCATTCTCTTCTTCCTCCTCCTTCCTTTTTTCTTTCTCCTCCTCTTCCTCCACTTCTTCTCTTTCTTCTTCCTCTTCCTCCTCCTCTTCTTCCTCCACCTCAGTCTCCACTTCTCTTTCTTCTTCGTCCTTCCTCTACCCTTTCTTCTTCTTCTTCTTCTTCTTCTTCTCCTTCCTGTTTTTATTTGTTCTTACACCTTCCTTCTTCTTTCTCCTCTTCCTCCACTTCTTCTCTTTCTTGTTTTCCTTCCTCCTCTTCTTCGTTTTCTTGTTTTTCTTCCTCTCCTTTCTTCCTCTCCTTTTCTTATCCTTCTTCCTGTGCCTCCTCCTCCTTCTTTCCCCTCCGCCTTCTTTCTCTTTCCTCATTTCCTCCCTTTTTTCTTCTTCTCTCCTTCTTACTAAGGGCCCTAAGAGTGCATCCACTCTGTAGAATCAATGTTTTAATATGTGTTTTGATTGTGCATTTTAACGGTGTTGTAACCTGCCTTGAGCCATAAGGAGTGGTGGGTAGAAAATAATAATAATAAAAAAATAGAAAATTATTATTATTGCTATTACTACTACTACTACTACTACTACTACTACTATTTTTATACCACTTTAATTACCATGGCTGAATGCTATGGAATCCTGGGAGTTGTAGATTGGTTCCTCCTAGACCAGTGGTTTCCAACCTTTTTTTGACCTGGAACCACTTTGACCAGGGACCACTCTTTCTCCAACATTAGTACCAAAAGTAATTATGCTAAACTGCCAAGATTTTAACAGTTGCCTTTCAGTGGCAAGGTTCCTGAATGAAGTCTTTAAACTGAACATGTAGCAATGTGAAGTTTCCTTTTTTTATAATTTATACTGTATTTTATACTGTCTTGTTATATATGCCAATAAAGGTCTATTGGATTGGATTGGATTGGCCCACAGGTTAAGAACCACTGTCCTAGATAGAGGAGTCAGGAAGAATAGAATGGGGCCAGCTTTATTTTTACTTTGGCATTTTGGATTCAGTTTGCAACAACTGAAGTAATGGAGACAACGGAAAAGTGAGAAGAGATAGGAGCCAGGGCAGTTTTAAAGAAAATGAAGAAAAAAAAAGGGAACAACAAAGGACGAACTGGAGTCATTCCTGCAGAATTGGGACAGTTGAAAGGTATGCTTCCCCATCTGCACCCTGTACATTGAGCAGTATCAAGTCGCTTGATTCAGGGTCCTTCCACACAGTCATATAACCCAGAATATCAAGGCAGAAAATCCCACAATATCTGCTTTGAACTGGGGTATCTGAGTCCACACTCTCATATATTCCAGTTCAAAGAAGATAATGTGGGATATTATTCAGCTGTGTGGAAGGGGCTTGGGTTATATGGCTGTGTGGAAAGGCCCTGAAGAAGCAGACTAGAGTTGCCTGGAAGAGGAAAGGGAAACATTACATTGCTAAAATTAGTACTATTCCAAGACTGACCAGACCAGAGTTCAGTGCATTCATCAGAAGGGAAGCACACTATACAATCTGAGGCTGGTTGCCTTCTCTCATCTTCATCTTCCTTGCCAGGCAGTTTTGAGTTATGAAACAACTTTAAGAGGGGCAAGTATGTGCATTGCTCTCTGCTCCTTTTAGGAACAGTACCAATCAGGCCCGTAGCCAGGATTTTGATTTGGAGGGAGCTGAGTTTGATGGGGGGGGGGGGGTCTACCATAGCAAACCTTTTGTATGCCTGGTACCAATATTAATTGTATTCCCCTCATAGTTTATCACTTATCACAGTTGTACTCTCCTTTCCTTGCTTAAGGTCGCTGCTGGAAATGTATGTTTCTGAGTGTCTCCTTTTGTCCTCACAATAATCCTGCAGGGTAATGAGACAGTGCCTTGAAGCAAGGCAACTGGTGAATGTTAAGATAAAAAGGTTGGGTTTTTTATTTTTCAGCCAGGCTCCTCCCAAGCCTTTAAAAGCTGCATTAACAGCAAATATTCTAGAAGCTGTGCCTTGCACCCGCATGGAGTCCAAATTCTCGGAAAATTCTAGGAAAACAGTAAGTGTCTTGCAGAGGTGATGGTCAACTTTTGTCTCCTCGATCCCATTACATATGTGCTCCACATAATTGCACAAAATTCAAGCATTTCTGGAGGTCAGCTCTACTTTATGTGCGCATCCAGACTGACTAAACAGGTCAGAAAAGTTCAGATTTTGTTCCCGTTCTTTCTTATTTTGTTTTGCAGAACCATACACATTTTGTTTATCTCAGAACATTTCCTATCACCCAGTATAAAATACAAAAGAATATTAACAAACTCTGAGGACTCATATAGACTCAGTATAGACTCATTTAATACAGTTTAATAGCACTCAATTGCTATTGAGTGGGGCCTGGGACTTTCCAATGCACCCAAAAGCTGATCACATTTTCAGGGGAAATAGGAGAAAAAGTTTCAAGATGCTAAAGGAATGGTGCTTTCTTTGTTGCCAATTTCATACCTCCAACTGGAGTGATTTGTTATGGACAGTCCCAGTTAATCCTTTGCCAACCTGCTACCCAATTTGATATTTGCTTTCACTAATAACATTTGCCACTCTGACCACACTCTACTGCTGGTTGACCACACATCCTGGTTTTACTCTGTGAAATGTTGGCAGATTTGCAATTTCTGCCTATGGAAAGGCTCTTCCTATATTCTTGAAAATGTAGGAAAAAAAGAAGTAACCTCTTCAGTGCTACCATGCTGTGTGAGTACAATTAACATGGCATAATTGTTACTTTAGTCTTGTATAAAACATTCTAGATATAAGTTTCATTAAAACTCTGCATGATTTACCTTTGAAGAGCTAAGAAGTTTAGGTGCTAAAGGGAAGAGAGTACATGGGGGGGTGGGGTGGGGGCAGAAAGGTATGCTCAAAAGACCTGCATGGATTATATGCCTCCAATGTCTAAAGTCTTGCTCCTCAAGAGGAGATAATGTAAATTAAGATTTCCAAAGAGTTACTTGTAACCCCCTTAATAATATATTGCACTATGGACAGATACGGCACATCTGCTCCCCCCCCCCCTACCTATAGAGTAGCATTTCTCAACCTAGGGGTCAGGAACCTTGGGGGGTCACGAGGGAGTGTCAGAGTGGTCACCAAAGACCATCAGACAACACAGTATTTTCTGTTGGTCTTGGAGGTTCTGTGTGGGAAGTTTGGCCCAATTATATCGGTAGGGTTCAAAATGGTCTTTGATTGCACGTGAACTATACTTCCCAGCAACTAAAACTCTCAAATGTCAAGTCTGTTTTCCCAAACTCCACCAGTGTTCACCTTTGGGCATATTGGATATCAGTGGCAAGTTTGGTCTAGATCCATCATTGTTTGAGTCCACAGTGCTCTCTGGATGTAGGTGAACTACAATTCCAAAACTATAGGTCAATACCCACCAAACCTTTCCAGTATTTTCTG